CTCTTTTTAGCTATCAGCCAGCACAAAATGCCAGATGTCAGTTGTTGAGGAGGGGTGAATTTTAGAATGTTGCAGAAATAAAAGTGTTAGGTTTTGGATAGAAATTGATTATAGGACTGAAAGGAGAGGCCGAGTCTAAGATTACACCTAACATTCTGGCATAAGGGGAGTGGTTGGTCTCACTGGAGAAAGACCAGAAGGAGGAAGATTCCCCCAGTGACAAATTAAACGAAGATTTTACACATTATATTATCTAGAATAGCATAAATAAAAAAGTAAATATTGTATAAAAACTAAAAAGCAGATTGTATACATAATAGGTGAGATATAAGAAAATAAGGAGGAAAATAACTGATTTAAGACTCGCAGTAACTAAACTTGATATGTGTGAATAAGCCAGATTGCAAGCCAAAAGAATATTAGATACATATTTCTAGAGAAGAATGCGTTTTCATGGTATATTGATTAAAAAGATAAACTATTTCCAAGGACAGACAACCAGACTGCTAAATCACAGTCTTCTACATTGCTTATTATGAAGATTCAGTGCTCATTCACTGAACATTCATTGAACATTATATTGCAGATCTGCAAAAATGCTGCTGCATTAAACATTCATGGGCTTGAACATTGCTGACAAAATATTTGTTCTGAATTTAGTAAATATGAAATGAAAGTATCACTTTAAGCGATAATAAACATACATTTTTTATTTACTTTTTGTAAATTAACAAACATGTTATACTTACCTGCTGTGTGCAGTGGTTTTGCACAGCCTGGATCCTCCTCTTCTCGGGTCCCCTGAAGGCTCTCCTGGCTCCTCCTTTCTGTCGGGTGCTATGGGTGCACCAGCTGCTCCGTGTATCCATTCACACATGGAGCAGCAACACCCTCTCTTTCCTCATTGGCTTACTGGCTGTGATTGATATTGAGCCAATGGCTCCCATTTGCTGTTTCAGCCAATGAAGAGGCAGAGACCCAGGACAGCCGAGGCTGTCATTCACATTGCTGGATCTCGATGGGGCTCAGGTGAGTATTGAGGTGGCTGGGGGCACTGCTCTACACAGAGGGTTTTTTTACCTTCATATACAAAATGCATGAAGGTAAAAAAGCTTGAGCCTTTACAAGCACTTTAACCTTATGAGGGTATCACCTAACCTGACCTACTTTACATTGCTTGAGTTAACGTGGCTATTGTTGTACACAGATACAGGAGATTGTAAGCAGGGTTAATGTTAAAGAGTAATTCCAAAGACATCTTTAAAAATTCTTAAAAGCCTAGTCCACCTTTTTGACCATTTTTCATGTTAGACCCAGTATTTAGGGTTTAGGATGAAACCTGGTCACATTTCCAAGGCCCTCCACCCTCAAACTGCATCTTCATATCTCAGTCACTGGGTTCTTCTTCCTACACACAACTGTTTTGTCTTGAATTTCGCATGCCAGCAAAGCTGCATCATCCATTCGCAGATTCATTTACAGGGATCTGTGGATGGAATTATTACAAGTCCCATCTGTCTCCACAGCTGAGGACAATCATCAACACACTTGTGATAGGTCATGTCCCAGGCTACATTTCATCTTTATTTCGCATCTGTTAATTTTAGGTGTGGTGTGCTAAAAAAAAGTCCTGCATGCAGCATCTGTGATGCGATTTCATCAAAACGTGCTGTATAGAGTTTAATGTTAGTTCACCTAAAATACATGTAAAATGTGCCTAAAATACCATGCCAAAAATGCAATGCACAGATGTGAACCAGCCCTTAGTGGTGGCTCCCCAGTCATAACTCAGTGCAGTATAGTATTGGCATGAAGTGCCATTGGTGTCTACTGCTACTGATTTACTTAAAGCCCAACTCTGGGTTAACCCCCACACCTCTTACATCCCTCTTACCCATCCCCCTCTAAATAATTGCCACATTACAAAAAATATAGCCCTGCTTAAAAGCCCTTTTTACATACCTGTAGTTGTGGTCATGTGATGATCTTGCCCTGAGTCTTCTTCTTTTCTACTTACTTTCTGGTTTTCGATTTTTCATCTGTGCCATTATGTCATTGCCTGCCTGACATGGATACTTCCTATTAGATGGGCTGCAGCAGAGTCCTCTCAGGATCCAGAAGAGGACAGAGTCACCAGAAGAAAATGGCAGGGGACTGACAATCTCAGGAGGGGCATCACAGTGCTGGATCAGCATTCCCACTACCTGGAAACAGAGACGGTGTGGGACCTGGATGGAGGATTTAGATGAGTATATCTCACTTCACAAGCTAAGAGGGGAAGGAAGACTTACAACAAGGGTCACAGGGTGGTGGTAGGAAGGGAGCTGCAAGGGTTAAGAAGCTTTCTTCTCATGACCCCTGTCTGTCTTTGACCCTTGTTGGAAGAATGTTTGATAACACTGTTACAAGGAGCCCATATCCTGTCAAACAGATATTGTTGGCCCAATGGTGTTAAAAAAAAGCAGTTTTGGGTTTAGCAAATAATTTTTTGCACATGTAGCACCAGCTTGGGCTCTTTAACCACTTGCCAACTGCCAGTAGTACATTTCAAGTGGACACAGTGGATCACAGTGCTCTGTACCTGGGCATTGTGAGTGGCTTGGGTATCATGTAATCACAGCAACAACATATAAGCAAAACTGTCATGACTGGTTTAAATTCATGAAAGCTTGCTTACTATTGTGACGTAGTCATTGGCCCACAGCTATCACATGGTACCTGGGCTGATCACAGCACCCTGCACCATGTGATTAGCTGTAGCCAATGACAGTTAAAACAAGTGCTTATAACACATAGCAACTTATAACAATCATCATTGTAATGAGCAATCACAGTGTAAAAAAAAATCCCTGATCACCCCCCAAAGTAGTATAGTGTCACTATGGTGACACTGAACTACTCTGATGACAGATATAAAGAAAAAATAGTCAAAAGAGAAAAAAATAGTAAAAAAAAAAAAAAAACAAAAAGTAAAAATGGAACAAAAACGTATTAAAGAAACCTTTTTTTTTTACATACTGTCACCAGTCAGTGTCCCTGATCACCACCACACCAGTCATATGATGATGCTGTACTGAACTGGTGACAATATTTAAAAAACAATTGTTAAAGAAAATGTATTTAATTTCTTTATTTTCCAGAAAATTGTGACAAAAAATTACAAAAAAAAACTTGCTATGCCTCTTATTAAATACCTGTCTACTTTCAAAAAAAGGGGTAATTTGGGGGATATTTGTACTGTACTTGCATTTTAGGGCCTCAAGAAATGAGATAGTATAGGTATAGATAGTATAGTATAGGTAGCCTGCACATCAGGGCTGGTTAAGTTTCAAATATATATATATATATATATATATATATATATATATATATATATATACCATAGGTTGTACACTCTATAATTTTCAAGCAGACTAAATAATATACATTGATTTCTGTTATTTTGTACCAAAGAAATGTAGCCGAATGCATTTTGGTCTACAAAATGAAGAAAAATTGTTTGCAAAATTTTTTAACAGAAACTAAGAAAAACTTGTTTTTTTTCAAAATGTTTGCTTTTTTTTTTATATAGAAAAGCACTACAAACCAAGTGGTGATTAGATACCACCAAAAGAAAACTTTATTTGTGTGAAAAGAATGATATAAATTTAATTTGGGTAAAGTGTTACATGATTGAGCAATTGCCAGTTAAATTAGTGTAAGCAGCCTGTAATGCTTGGTTAGTAGGCTCAAACTAGGGGGAGGGGTTAAGTTATATGTGCTCATTTCCCGGGCTTTTGGGTCTCAGCCAGGGGTGCATGTTGGTTCTGGCTTATCTAAAGAACCAGGGTCTTTAAAGCACAAAAGGAGTATGAAGTAACACTACACAAATGGGGGTTTACTCGGCAAGTCAAATAAGAGTAAGGCCATTGCTGCGATAAACCAATCACAAGTTCAAGCAAGAAGCAATGAGTAGTAGGCATGGGTAAGGTGGCAGGTCCTCTGGTAGTGAGGGGGTCCCTGCTTGGCTCCCTCATGAGTGGTCAGTCTTTCATAGCAACTGGCAGCAGACCAGCATTACGGAGATCCATGACCTGGCCACAGGGTATGAGAAGCAAAGGAGTTAATAGTGAGCACGCATGAGGATCACGCTAGAAGTACACTAGATTGGTGGAGCGGGTGCTGGCTCATCCCATCCCTCTCAGTGCAAGAGAGGGCAAGAGTGTGTAGACATGCTCAGGGGCAGACTGACAACTCATGGGGCCCCCGGGCAATAGGGGATCATGGGGCCCCTGTGTCCTTGCCCAAACTCAAAAAAGCCTATGAAAAAGGTACCAGGGGCATCTCATGGGGCCCCCTACTGACCCCAGGCTCTCGGGCAGTGCCCAAGTTTCTAAATGGTCAGTCCGCCCCTAGAGATGCTACATTTTTGGCTGGAGATATGCTGTAAAAGACAATATGAATGTAACACTGTACATTGGTACTGTGAATGCATATTAATATTTAACCACAAGATGGCAGTGTCTGGCATTAATGTTCATTACAGCCTTAAAGTGTTACTAAACCCACAACAGTAAGATCAGTGTGTATATGCAGCAAAGCATGTTTGTTATACTCACTGTGGAACCTAAGGGGTTAATCATCTGCATTGTGTAAAAAGGCTGTTTGATCCTTACTTCTGTGATCCTCCCATTCTTCCAGTGCATCCCCTCCCTTATCTCATGATAAGACATATGGTGTGGAGACACTCTGCACATGCTCAGTTTGGTGAGTATTACTAGAGAGTTTTTTCTTTTTCTTGGGAGAGCGCATGTGATCAGCACAGGGCCAATCAGCACTGTCCAGACAGAGGTCAGGGGTTCTGCATCCTTCTACAGCAGAAAGAAAACTAGTCCTACAAGCTTTAACCAGTGCTCTGCTGAACACTGATAGAAGTCACAAGACTGTTCTAATTGCTGATGAGAAAAGGTATTTAGCAGTTTATATTTTCTAAAATAATTGCATTTCCATGTTCTGTGTACTGTGGGAGACCAGATATAGTGAATACAGGGTCCTGGGTTTAGTAATACTTTAATATAGGTATTCAGAGACTGCTGGGGATTTTTATGCTGAAAGCAGAACTTCACAGTCAAGTTGTAACTAAATTACACAAGCCATGAACACTCATCAGGGGGCGGGATTATATAAAAGTAAAAGCCTAGGAAAACAGAATGAAGTTGGAGAGACTTTGCTGGTGTAAGGAGTGTGTGGGTGAGGGCTGTGTTAAGCCACATGGGCTTGGTCCAGACCAGGGTATGCAGAGAAACCACAGAGAACAAGGTTTAAGTGGAGCATTGAGTGGAAGAAGCAGACTTGTGGAGACCTCTTTGCTGTAGAAGGGCTAGAGTCTCTGCCAATCACAGTCTCATCTTCAAGAGAAAAATGTGGCCCCCTGTCGCTGGAGGTCATTGCTTTGCTTATCATCACATAAGGACTGGGTGAGAGGGTCCCTGACCCACTGAACGTTATATTCAGTTACTAACAGTTGCTGCCATTCAGGTTCTTCAAGTTCAAAGTCAGTTTTCAGCATAGGCCTCTATTAGTGATATAGGTGCCAGTACCCCTTACTGCTGCAGACTGCCATCCTTGAACTGCTATCATGGTCGCTGTCTGCAGTATACTGGACTAGGTAAACCCCTTGACTCTATGCTAGGCAGAGTTCTGTAGCTGTGTCCATTTACGTTCAAGCTATCTAAGGAGGAAATTTTGCCGCTTAAAGCAGAGTTCCAGTTGCACTGTGAAAAAATAAAAGCCAGTAGCTACAAAAACTGTAGCTGCTGACTTTTAAACAATAGCTACTCACCTGTCCCATGATCCAGAGGTGTTTTCCCCGCAACCCATTTCGCCAGCCATCTGGTGTCCCAGGCACCTGCATCTTCAGTGTGGGCACCCGGCTATGACAGCTTGGGGCTTCACAGCCGGGTGCCCACTGCGCATGCGTGAGTAGCGCTGCGCTTCCTGAATGGGACCTGTCACGTGTCCCAGAAGACTACAGGGAGGGTAGGAGGACAACATCTGCTTCCGATCGCCTATGTGATCGCAGCAGAAGTGTGTACCTGTCAATTTTTGGTACCCGCTCCCCAAAGGTTCCAATCCTTAATGGGGAGTGGGGGAATAGCCTTTAAAGCGGAACTTCCCCTTTTGGGTGGAGCTCCACTTTAAGTTAAGTTTCATCCTTTAAAGGGAAATACACCAGCCAATCCCCCCCTTCTTCTAAAGTGGGCGAAGCCCACAATTCAACTGTTAAAGAGACTTTTTTTCTACAATTCAATGTCTTAAAGTGGCCACTACTCACAATTCAACCATGAAAGAGACTCTTTTCTACAATTCAATATCTTAGTGACCCTCCCCACCAATTTTGCATACTGTATATTAAGGAGAATGGTACTAACCACATTGTCTCTCAAAGGGAATCAACTTGTTCCTCTCATCTAAAAGGGGTTTCACCTTTCACCATGTACCAATATAAGGGCCCCAACTAAGCCAGCAGAAGAATCAACCTTTCAGTTTGATTGTGCTCAGGGACTATCCACTAGTACTTGTATGCAGGAGGTTTACCAGATTTCCTAGAACCTAAACCTAGACTCTTCTGACTGAGAAACTACAAGTGAGTTAGCCCTAATTCCTTGTTAATCATACATGTCTCACTTAGGAAGTAATCCCAATTGTGGGCTATAGTTCATATCCTCAGTCCTGCAGAACAGTTAGCCACGTTTTAAAGGATATTTGACTGTATTGTATTTCTTTTGCTGATTCACCTTACTTACTGTTAACCCCCTTTTAACTGTTGAATTATCTACCATCCTTTTTATTGCTATTAATACAACCTGATCATTTATTTTATAACAGTGTGTGCATATTTTTCTTGTGTGACTCCTGGGAGACTCCCTGACCAAGGTAATTTAAAGGTGTCAGTAAGGTTGGCCATACATTATACAATTTTCTTGAGATTTTTGGTTTTGATTTACCAAAAACCATATAATAGAAGGTCAAACCTAACAACACATTCAATTGTATCCAATTAGGCAAGCTCTTGCACTATATAGTTGAAGGTAAATCTAAAGAAAATTGGGCAGAAATTGGACAGAAAATTGTATAGTATATGGCCATCCTTAGAGTGGGGTTCCGTTTAGGACCAGGTAAAGAATAGAGGACCCAAATATACCAGCAGCTCCTTTAGGAGTAGCTCTACATGAAACTGGAAACATGCTACATGAGGCTAGTAGAGATCAATGTACCCTAATAATAACAATAACAATGCAACCCTAATCTATTACCCTAATCTATGTTCTCACTACAGGCTACTGAGGTATGAGGTCTGAGTGCCGCACATCCTATACCAAAGGCCGCAGGTTGGGCACCAGGGCTCTACATCGTCTTACTGGCTAGTGGTTAGGCAGGACATCTCTGCAATAGTTGGGCTGTATTTGTATTGCAAATGCTTTTTGTATTACTGTGCTGTGTTGGATTGTTTATCTGCATTACAAGCAAGTATCACTCTCTTGCATCTGCCTAGTGGATGTTTTTGCACCCATTGCTCAACAAGCAATCGTGAGGAGTGATCAGTGTCACGCTGTACTGCACAGCTACCTGCATTGCTTTGATATTGTAGACTAGTTGAGTAACTAACTCGTTCCTTTTTAGGTCATTGTCTTTAAAGAATAAGTTCACTTTTCATAACATGTTACAGTTGCAAGAAAAAGTATGTGAACCCCTTGGGATTACGTGGAGTTTTACATGAATTGGGCATAAAATGTGCTCTGAACGTCATCTAAGTCACAACAATAGAAGAACACAGTCTGATGAACATAATACTACACAAACATTAGATGTTGCCATGGTTTAATTGCAGATAACATGTAAACATTCACAGTGCAGGGAGGAAAAAGTATGTGAGGCCCTAGCTTAATAACTTCTTCCAGAGCTAATTGGAGCCAGCAGTGAGCCAACCTTGACTCCAATCAGTGTGATGATATTGGATGTGTTGCTGACAGCTGTCCTGCCCTTAAAAAACACACACCTGTTTTGGGTTTACTGGTTTCAAGAAGCACTGTCTGATGTGAACCATGCCTCGCAGAAAAAACAGCTCTCAGAAGACCTACGATCAAGAATTGTTGACTTGCATGAAGCTGGAAAGGGTTACAAAAGTATCTCCAAAGGCCTTGATGTTCATGTGTCCATGGTAAGACAGACTGTCTACAAATGGAGAAAGTTTAGCACTGTTGCTACTCTCCCTAGGCGTGGTCGTCCTGTAAAAATGACTGCAAGAGCACAGCGCAGAATGCTGCATGAGGTAAAGAAGAATCCCAGAGTGTCAGCTAAAGACCTACAGAAATCTCTGGCACATGCTAACATTTTTGTTGACACATCTACAATAAGGAAAACATTAAACAAGAATGGAGTACATGGGAGGACACCATGGAGGAAGCCACTGCTGTCCAAAAAGAATATTGCAGCACGTTTGAAGTTTGCAAAAGAGCACCTGGATGTTCCACAGCACTACTGGCAAATTATACTGTGGACAGATGAAACCAAGATTGAGTTGTTTGGGAAGAACACACAGCACTATGTGTGGAGAAAAAAAGGCACAGCACACCAACATCAAAACCTCATCCCCACTGTAAAACATGGCGGAGGGAGCATCATGGTTTGGGGCTGCTTTGCTGCCTCAGGGCCTGGACGGATTGTTGTCATTGATGGGAAAATGAATTCCAGAGTTTATCAAGACATTTTGCAGGAAAACGTACGACCATCTGTCCGTCAACTGAAGCACCGCAGAGGATGGGTGATGCAACAGGACAATGACCCAAAGCATACAAGTAATGCAACAAAACAATGGCTGCAACAGCACAGAATACGCCTTCTGGAGTGGCCCAGTCAGAGTCCTGACCTCAACCCGATTGAAATGCTGTGGCATGACCTTAAGTGAGCGATTCACACCAGACATCCCAAGAATATTGCTACACTGAAACAGTTTTGTGAAGAGGAGTGGTCCAAAATTTCTCCAGATCGTTGTGCGGTCTGATCTGCAACTACAGGAAACGTTTGGTTGAGGTTATTGCTGCCAAAGGAGGGTCAACCAGTTATTAAGTCCAAAGGTTCACATACTTTTTCCTCCCTGCACTGTGAATATTTACATGTTATGTGCAATTAAAGCATGGCAACATCTAATGTTTGTGTAGTATTATTTCAGCAGACTGTGTTCTTCTACTGTTGTGACTTAGATGACGTTCAGAGCACATTTTATGCCCAATTCATGCAAAACGCCACGTAATCCCAAGGGGTTCACATACTTTTTCTTGCAACTGTATATGTTACACCCATATTCAGGGTGTAACATATTACAAAAGGAGTGCCCCCCCCTCCTCTCGGCTCCCCGTTGTGACAGTTGTTCTGTGACTGATTGAACTACAAGTCCCAACAGCTTTTGCGCTGCTGGCTTGTAATTCTCAATGAACTACCACGGCGCTGTGCCGTGGTAGTTCATCGATTCTTTCTGTCAGCATATCTGCTTGCCCATACATCCTGAAGATATACTGACAGGTCTGCAGGAGACCTGCATGACACCAGTGATCTGCTGATCGCTGGTGCAATGCTTTAGAGCAGGGGTGGCCAACCTGCGGCTCTCCAGATGCTGCAGGACTACAAGTTCCATCATGCCTCTACAAGTCAGTAACTTCCCATCTTTGCAATGCCTCATGGGAAATGTAGTTCCACAACAGCTGGAGAGCCTGCTTTAGAGGCTCCAAACAAAATATGATAAATGCACATTTTTTTACTTGCAAAAAAAATGTGCATTTGTTATTTTTTGCAAAAAGATGAACTTATCCTTAACGTAAACCCCACTTAAACTGTGTAAGGTGTGTCGGTATTCTTGAGCCCAGGTAATGGAGGGTCATCACAAGTGCAGAGCAGAAGAGACTCATTACAATTCAGTGGTTCTACGGGGGTGAGAGTTACAAGAATGAGGCAGTGTAGCCCAATTGCCCACAAATTATTGCATTCCTGTGTCCCTCAATGAATTTCAGAAGGAAAAAGAAAGACAAAATGAAAGAAAATGAATTTATGTGTATATATG